CGCTTATGGGTTGGAATCGACTCGACCGCACTTCACAACAACAACAACATGGGTTGGAACCGACTTAATGGCACTTAACAACAACAACACACATTGCGTAAGTATGGAGAAAGGATATGCAATGTTTTCTGATTTTAAATTATTCTGTATCCCCTTGTTCTGTTTGAACTACTGCCTCTTAGTGTATGTACAGGTTCCTCATGAGCACAGTTAAATGTTCTGGAATCTCCATTCTGTGCAAAATTGTCCATAGCTTGTCATGATCTAAACAATTGAAAGTTTCTGCACAGCCAATAAAGCACAAGTAAATACCGTCCTGGGAGTCTCTGCTTTCAGCTAAGACTCATTGGACATCAGCAATGTTGTTGTTTGGTGTCACCTTGCCAGTCCATCTTATTGGGGTCTCCTCTTTTGTGCTGATCCTCCACTTTACCAAGCATGATGTCATTCCCCAGGGATTGTTCCCTCTTGTTAATATGTACGAAGTATGAGAGACAAAGTCTGGCCATCCTGGCGTCTAGGAGCATTCTGGCTGCATTTCTTCCAACACAGATTTGTTTGTTCTTCTGGCAGTCCATGGGACTTTCAATATTCTTCTCCAACACCACAACTCAAACGCATCAATTCTTCTACTATCTTCTTTATTGTCCAATTTTCACACAAGTATGAGGCCATTGAAAATACCATGGTGTGGGTCAGGCACACCATAGTCTTCAAACTAACATCTTTGTTTTTGAACACTTCAAAGAGGTCTTGTGCAGCAGATTTGCTGAGAGCATTATGTCGTTTGATTTCCTGACTGCTGCTTCTGTGAGTGTTAATGGTGGAGCCAAGCAAAATGAAGTCTTTGACAATTTCAATCTTTTTTCTATTTATCATGATGCTATTTATTGGTCCAGTGGTGAGGATTTTTGTTTTCTTTACATTGAGGTGCAACCCATACTGAAGGCTGTGGTCTTTGATCTGCATACAGATTGAGTAAGTATGATGAAAGAATGCAACTCTGACACACACCTTTCCTGATTTTAAACCATTCAGTGTTCCCTTGTTCTCTATGAAAGACCCCCTTTTAGTCTATGTACAGGTTCCTCATGAGCACAATTAAGTGTTCTGGAATACTCTTTCTCAATGTTATCCATAGCTTGTCATGATCCACTCAGTCGAAAGCCTTTGTGTACTCAACAAAGCACAGGCAAACATCCTTCTGGTATTCTCTGCTTTCAGTCAAGATCCATCTGATGCCAGCAAGGCTATTCCTCCTTTCACATCCTCTTCTGAATCTGGCGTGAACCTCTGGCAGTTCTCTGTCAATGTACTATTGCAGCCATTTAAAAATTATCATTGGCAAAATTTTACTTATATGTGGTATTAATGATATTGTCTGATGATTTCCACATTCCATTGGGTCACCTCTCTTTGGAATGGGCACAAATATGGATCTTTTCTAATCAGCTGACCAGGTAGTTGTCTTCCAAATTTCTTAGCAGAGATGAGTGAGTGCCTCCTGTGCTGCATCAATTTGTTGAAAGATTTCAATTTGTATTTCATCAATTCCCATAGCCTTGTTCTTTGCCAATGCCTTCAGTACACCTTGGATTTCTTCCGTCAGTAACTTCGGCTCTTGATCATATGCTCCCTCTTGAGATGGTTGAACATCAACCATTTCTTTTTGGTACAGTGACTCTGTGTATTCTTTCCATTTTCTTTTGATGCTTTCTGCATCATTCAATATTTTGCCCAAAGAATCCTTCACTTCTTCAAGTTGAGGCTCAAAAATTTTTCCCTCAGTTCTTTCAGTTTGAGAAATGCTGAGTGAGCTCTTCTCTTTTGGTTTTCTAACTCCATGTCTTTGCACATTTCATTATAATACTTGATTTTGTCTTCTTGAGCTGATCTTTTGACATTTTCTGTTCAGCTCCTTTACCTCCTTATTTCTTCCTTTTACTCTACTCTGGAGAGCAAGTTTCAGAGTTTCTTTCTTTTTTTTTCCCCCAATGTTTTATTGTGACTTATGTGATAGTTTACAGGGGTGAACATTAGCTTTACATTCATCCTATCGTAGATGGTTTCATTGCCATGATTACAATCCCCTCCATGCATCATCAACCAACCAAATGGTACATCCCTCAAGCCTGCCCCCTGGTCGTCAGCACACAGTCCCTCTCCCTCTCTGGGTCTAGGGTTCCCTGCCACCCCATCTCTCCACGTTATCGTCTCTGGTGTCACTGTTGGTGTCACATGTCTGGTGTCACTGTTTCTCTGGGTAGGGTCCTGCACTCCGCTCTTCTCCCTTGATGGTCCCAGGGACCTCTGCTAAGAGTCTCTTTTGACGAGCATTTTGGTGTTTTCCTTTTTTCTTGTCTTCTTAATGACCTTTTTCTTTCTGCCTGTATGATGTCCTTGATGTCATCCCACAAAATATTCTGACTTTTGGTCCGTGTCCTCTTCTGAATCGGGCTTGAATTCCTGGTAGCTCCCTGTCGACGTACATCTGCAACTGTTTTGGAAGTTTCTCCTTCTTCCTTGCCTGTCTTCATCTGGAAGCTCCTCCAAAACCTGTCGTCCATGGGTGACCCTGCTGGGCTTTAAAATACTAAAGTGGCATAGCTTTCAGCATCACAGCAACACACAAACCACCACAATATGACAAACTGGCAGACAAATGGTGGTGGAGGTGGGTAATGAATTGTCCCATGTAAACAGCTCCAAGTCCAAGAAGATGTGGATGGCTGTAGAATTTTCTGGAACTGTGTCTCCTCTCTTAGTCATGTGGTACATGCTTTGACTTGATGCAATCCTAAATTGTTGCATTCATGTATGCACATCCATTTTGCCTGCCAAGCCTCTCAAGGAATGTGATTGTCCCCATTTATCAGATTAGGAAAGCGAGGCTCAGGGGAGTGTTGTGTTGACTCCTGACTTGGCTAGTCTCAGGGTTGAAGCTTTGATTCCAGATGCAGTCTCTTCCAAGACAGGCATGCCCCCCCTGGGCACAGCTGGGCCACCGAGCCAGGTCTCAACAAGGTGGCGACTGTGCCCTCAGTGTCCACCAGGGGGCAGGAGATGAACACCTGCAGCGATGCCCAGACGTCCTTGAAGTCTTGGCTGGTTCCAGCCTGGGCAGCGAGGGTTGGGAAGACAGAGGCCCCTTTCTTGATGACAGAGACCCAGGCATTAACTGAATATCCCAGGTGAGGGGGTGGGGAGCCCCTTCAGCACTGAGCAGGTGCTGGACCAATGGATAAGGAATCCTCTTTTTCTCTGATAAGCAATTCTGAAGGGTGGATGCGCGTCACCGTTCCATAGAGGAGGCTGCGCCGGGGGAAGGTGCCTGTAGTTTCTCAGAGCAGGGGTTCTGGGTTGGGATTTTACGCTCTGTCCCCCTGCTTTGCGGGCCTTTTTTGGAGGCGCTGGTGGGCTCCACCTGCTGCTGCTGGGGCTGTTCCTCACAGGCAAGGACTGCTCCCCATCCTGTGAGCGTCCCCCTGCCTGGGTTGGCTCATAAAGGAAGGATGGGCACAGGTCACCTGGCTCTCCAGCGAGGCACCGTTCTTCATGCCCCAGCCTATGTCACCTCCTCAAGCTGGGAGGCAAAGGCCAGTGTCCAGGGCAGGTGGCCCCTGGAGACCTCTTGGGCTGGCAGCGAGGTGAGTGTCTACATGTGAGAAGGGGGCTATGGTCCTAGGCTGGCAGCTGAGGGTTCAGGCCAGAGTTGGGGGTGGGGCTCAGAAATCCTCCCCCATGACTTTCCTCGGGGTCACCCTGAGCAGCGAGCTGAGCCAGGGTCCATAGAACTCCATCCCCAGATGGGCTCTTTTTGTCCTCGAAGACCCTCCCATTGTCGCAGGAGGCCAGCTGGGCAGAGCGAGGTGCCCCCGCCGGGGCCTGCTGAGGGGCGTGGCCCAGGCGCGAGTTCAGGACCGGGTCAGCGTCCCAGTGGCACCAAAGTCCTGCCGTCTCCACTGTCTGAACTCTTGTATGTCAGCCCAGACATCAGGATCGCCCGGCGGATAGCCGCGAGTAGGCAGGCTTCTGGGCCCAAAGCTAGGAATCCCGGCCTTTGTCCTGGGCGGGGGGCGGGGAAGGGGGCTTCCTGCCAGCGCTGGGCCAGGGCGAAGGACTGAGAGGGGCTCTGGGACACCGAGTCATCAGGCTTCACCCCGCCCTGCGGGGGCGTTCTGGGGGCGCTCGAGCCTCCTCCTAGGCCGGTGGCCTTTTGGAGATCTGCCCCTCCCCAAACGCCACCTCCAGAACTCCACTAGGGGCCACGCGAGGCGCCAAGAGGGGCACAGAGAGAGCGACCGGGCCCACAGATCGGGAATCCCCAGGCAAGGTTTCCCGTTCCGGGCTAAGAGCGCCCCGAAAAGTCCCGGTTCCCCTGGGAAAAAGTGGGCCGGACGCCGGCCTGCGCCCCCGCCCTGCGCAACTTTGGCGGGCGTCGGCGGTGGGGCAGGAAGTGGGGGGCGGGGCGGGCCCTGTGCTGAGGGCGGAGCGAGGGCGCCGGCCCCGCCCCTTCGGCCCCGCCCCGGCCCCGGCCGGGAGCCGCTGAGCTACCAAGCCCCGCGCGGATCTCTGAGCCCGCGGGTGCGGCGAACAAAGCGCAGCGGCGGCGGCGGCGCGGCGGCCCAGGCCGGGGACGCGCGGATCGAGCGACCCGCCGGCCTTTGTCTCCGGGGCACAGCGGCGGCGGGCGCCCCGAGCGCAGAATGCGGCGCCCGGCGGGGCGGGCAGCGGAGCGCGGCGGCGGCGTGCGGCTAGAAGCGCGGCCCGGCGCCCGCGGGGACTTGTGTGTGTGAAGGGGAGACCCGGCGCCGCACGTGGACGTGCGCCGCGGCCCTTGAGAGCGGCGGACTAGAAGGAGGAGGAGGAACGACCGGTGGCGCAGCGGGACCGGCTGCCCGCCCGTCAGGCCCCGCCCCGGCCGAGCCCGCGCGGGCGGGATGCCCCGCGGCCGCCGCGCTCCGGCCCGAGCCCTGCGCTGAGCGGCGCCGCCGGGCGCCATGGAGCAGTGGCGGCAATGTGGCCGCTGGCTCATCGACTGCAAGGTCCTGCCGCCCAACCACCGGGTAGTGTGGCCCTCGGCCGTGGTCTTCGACCTGGCGCAGGCTCTGCGCGACGGCGTCTTGCTCTGCCAGCTGCTGCACAACCTGTCCCCCGGCTCCGTGGACCTCAAGGACATCAACTTCCGGCCACAGATGTCCCAGGTGAGGACCCGGGCTCGGCCCTCGGGCGTTCGTGCTGCTAACCTCGCAGACCGAGACGTAGAGGTCGCCGCCGCGGGCGACCCCAGAGCTTCGGCCGGGACTGGAGGACGGAGCCGGGCGGCAGGAGGGGGAGCAGAAAGAGGGGGCGCGTACGGGTCAAAGCGGGCTTCTCCTAGAGACATCCCTGGGGGGTGCGAAGTTCGCCAAAGTCCCTACATGCTCGGGGTGCACCTCCACCGCCCGCAGGCACTGCTAGGGGAGCGCCTGTCCCCATCTATCCCTCGCGTATGTGAGACAGGGACTCGAACCCTGGCCGGTCGCTCCGCACGATTGCTTGTTTTCGGGACTGCCAGCGCCTCCACCTCTCCCGACGCCAAACCTGCCGCGTAGAGTGGCCGCGCCGAGATTTCGTCTTCCGGCTTTGCACCTGGTGGTTGGACCCGGTGGTGGAGGAGCCGGCGTAGCGGGGAGCGAGTGCCTTCGGGGTCCGGGGAAGGAGGGATGGGCCCAGGGTGCCCCCCCTTGCCGGCCACCGCCACCTCTTGGCTGTGGGTGGGGAGGGGTGCTCTGTCATTGGGCCCCCAGGGCTGCTTAACTTGGCAGGAGCTCGGAGTCCCCCGCCCACAGCCGTCGGGCCCTCTAGTGTGGCCTTTGTCGCGGTGGAGGCGCGCGTGTGGCCGCTGGGCAGGAAAATGTCCGCCCAGATGGCCGGAGCTGCTTTTCTTGGCTTCTTAAAGGAACTTGGCGGAGACTTTAGCCGAATCTGGGCTCCTGTTCCTCCCCCAGGGTTCGCAGAACCCCCACTCGTACACTCTTGGAAGGGGACTGTCCGAAATGCACAGGGGCCTTGGGGCTGGGGGGCCAGCCCTATCGGCCACCGGTCAGCCTGGTAGCCCTTCCCCAAAAGCCCTCAGCGAGTCCTCGTGTACAACAGCCATTCAGCGTGGTTAGCTCTGGGGAGGGAGGGCCGGTTGGAGTGAGTCATCTTCGTCATTTACAAGCAAGGCTGTGTGGCCTTTGCCCCTGAGACCAGGGCCTTAGGGTCTTTGCCCTTTTCGGACTGTGTTTCCGAGGAGATGGAAATGGAGGGGGTGCTGGTGGCAAAGCTCACAAAAGAGGTCCCTCAGATTAGTAATCACCCCCCCTTACTCCCAGCCTAGGATGCCCAGGCGTGAGGCTTGGGGAGGGAGTAGGTTAGTGGGGTCACACGTTTCTGATGGTCACTTGCTCTGGGTGGGGTCACCAGGTGTTGCTCACTGCAGGGCACTTTTTCCCACCCTGTCTTTCTTGTTATCAAAGCCTCTCTGGGCTGCTCTACCCATGTAATGCCCCCACAGACTGAGGAAGGTGAGCGCTGGCTGCTGACTTGGGGGGGTGGGCGCTCCCCTGGGCAGGGTTTCTGGACTGATTGTCAGGGAGCCTGGGCCATGGGGCGATGGCCACTGGGGGGTTGGTCACTGTGAGAGTGGGGAGGAGTCTAGGGTGGCTTAGCCTTGTCTGGCCAAGTCCCTTGGTCCTGGAGCGCTTCCTTCTCCGCTGTGGTTTGGGCAGTAGGGTGGGGGCGGGAAGATGGACGTGTGTGTGTGTGTGTGTGTGTGTGTGTGTGTGTGTGTGTGTGTGTGTGTCCTTCCTGGGCCGCAGTCCTGGGCTGGAGGGACCTTCGTGTGTCTGCGTGGCCACATGCTCTGATCCACTCCTGGTTCTGCCACCTTCCAGCAGGTGGTGTTCCCTTTGGGGCCTCAGTATCCCCATCTGTGTCATGGAGACTGAGAAGAGGATTGAAGTAAGACTGGGGAAATGGTAGCAATTTGGAGGACATCGTCTGGACTCTTTGCAGTGGAGGCTGTGTGGGGTTTCCCGTGGCCCTCAGAGGTCTGTGTGTCCTCTGCTGTCCAGGGTGTGTCGGACAGTGTGTTACTATGACAGCAGCCACTTTCTTTATCCCGAATGGCTGTGCTTTCTGTGTTGGGGAAGTTGGCACCCCTGGTGTGGCTGCAGTTTTTCTAAAGCAGCTTACATTTCCTAGAAGGGAGGTTGGAGGGCGTGGTCTCCGTCCTGCCCCAAATGTGAGAGGGTGTGCCCCCCTCTACCACAGACACAACACACAACAAAAACAGACTTGAATCTGCCTGTCTCCAGGGCTGTTCACATAAGCTGTTTAGCTCTCTCCTGCTGGTTTCTGATGGTGCTCCTGGCTGGACTAGAGGTTCCTTGTGGGGTGGGGAGCCTGCGGCCCATGTGTCTTCCCACCTGTATTGGCTGTGATGCCCAGGGCAACTGTAAGGCACTCCTTCCAGAATGTCCCATTGGTCCTTCCTGGTTACCTCCACTTCAGGACAGAAAGCTTTGGTGAGGTCCCCCCGCTGTGCCCTTTGTCAGCTGGACTATTAGTCAGAAGAAAGCACAGTATAATGCGCATTTATTGGGCACCCGCTGTGTGCAGAGCCAGGCCTGGCAGGTGTTCACAGAGGGAACCCCATCACCCTTGACTGTGCCCTCCAGAAACTGGCAGGATACTCTTTTTTTTTTTTTTTTTAAATCTAAAAGTGCCTTGAAGCCACCTTGGGCTTAATTAAACTAATTAGGAGCGGCCACATCGCTGGTCCCACTAGGAGATGAGGATCCCGCAGCGTCTGTGGGAGAGCCTGCATGGTGGCCTTCCTGCATGGCCTCTCAACCTCTACCTCCTGGCCAGCCTCGCCCCTTGAACATTCTGGAAATCCTATTCTTGGTGGATTGTGGCTAGCTTAGGGGCACTGGACACAGAGCAGCAGGTCTGGGCTGTACCTGGGCCCCCACCCACCATGTGCCCTTTCTGTCCCTGCCTCTTCCCTGCTGGGCTCTTGCTGGAAGACCTCCCTTCCTTTCTGCAGCCGTTTCTCTGGGCCCGGTGCTGTGGCTAGCATCTCCTTCTCCATGTCTCCTTCAGTACACACTCCCCTTGGTAGCCATGCTCTGTGGTTCGCTCTCTAAATCGTGTGAACCAGAGAGATTTAGGAGAGATTTTGCTCCCTGAGGATACTCTTACCGTCCTCTGCCTACTGGCTGAGTCCCTGGGTCCTGCAGAGCCCGGCACATCTCAGTCCTCATCCCTCCCTCCTTCCAGAAACAATCCCGGAGGCCCTGTCACCTGGCTCCGGAGTGGGGAACAGGATGACCCATCCACAGCCCCTGTGTCCATGTCTTCCAGGGACACACTGAGCTGTAAGCCAGAGAGGCCCAGTGTGGGCACAGGGTTGCTGGACAGCAGATTTGGGAGGCCTGCTTGCAAGCCTTTTCTTTCCTTTGGGGTAGATTTTGTTTTTTTTTTCTTAATTTTGGAAAAATCTCAGACTTACAGAAAACGAATGAGGAGTCCTGGTGTGGCGCTGCAGGATAAAGCGCTGGACTGCAAGGTCGGTTTGAACCGCAAGGTTGGTGGTTCAAACCCACCAGCCGTTCCTCAGAAACCCTAGACAGGGTCTCTGTGAGTCGGAACCGACTCGATGGCACTTAATAACAACACAGACCAAACAACTCTTTCTTGAGCCATTAGAGACTGAGCTGGTCAGGCGATGTCCAGCACCCCTGAGTATTCTACAGATCTAGAAGGAGCAATGAGACGTCTGTCCGTCCCCGCCCCCATCATCCATCGCAGCAAACACCCTCCACCCTCGGGATGCTGGGCAGCACTGAGCTGCCTGTGAACCTTTCTCAGTCTGGCACAGCTTTTTAACCTCCAGCTGACTTTGTGATCTTTGCCCTTGTGAAAAGTCACAGGTGCCTGGAGTTTATCTGGCTTTGTTTCCTCACGATTGGTTCGGGTTGCACATCTCTGGGGCTGCAGTACTGTGTTCTTCACTCGTGACTTCTGTTTGCCCCATTTCGGGGGACGCTGACTTAAATCTCTTGATGTAAGGCCACGTCTGCCCGCTTCTCCACTGTCAAAGTTTGTGTATTTCCCTTCGGAATTAAGAAATGGTTTGAGTAAAGTTCTTCTTGTTACATGCCATCAGGTTGGTTCCAACTCATAGCAACTCTGTATGGGAGATTTCCGAGGAGCAGCTAGTGAATTTGAACCATCCACCTTGCAGTTCAAACCGACTTTGCGTTCCAGCGCATTCTCCCACAGAACCACGCCAGGACCTTAGACAACATCTTCTGTCAGTCTGCATTATGGTTTCTCATTTTATAATCGATTACTATCTTGATTTATTTTACTGCCAAATAATTCCAGGTTTGAGGAATGGGAGCCGTTTCAAGCAGGTTTCTGTATCGTCTTGAGATGTTTCCATCATTCTTTGGACACTTCCTTGCCTTTCTGGCACCAAGTGCTCTAGGCTGGCCTTGTACTTAGTTTTCCTTCCTGGAGTCATTTCTCCAAGGTGCGCTGTGTGGTATTTAGGAGCCAAGAGTTGGGCATGCTCATGGTCAGACTTAGGGACTTCTTGCATGTATGTATATGTGTGTGTGTACGTGTACACATATTTGTATATGTGCCTGAATATGCACTGGGTAAAGCAATTGGCTGTTAGCTGGCAGGTCAGTGGGTCGAACCCGCCCGCTGCTCCCATAAAGACTTACAGCCTTGGAAACCCTCTGGAGTAGTTAGTTGTACTCGTGTTCTGTAGGGTCGCTGTGATTCAGAACCCACTTGACGGTAAAGGTTTGGTTTTGGTTTGGTGTGTATGTATATGTATGAATATGTATGCATATGTATGTATATGCATGTATATGTATGAATATGTATGTATATGTATGAATATGTATGCATATGTATGTATGTGTATGCATATGTATGTATATGTATGATATGTATGAATATGTATGAATATGTGCGTTGTATGTTTGTTTATTTCTCTGTTTGTTATTTGATCTATCACAGTGCTGCCAGAGAGAAGCATCATGGGAGCCAGCTAGATACTTGTTGTTAAGTGCCGTCAAGTCGGTTCCGACCCATAGTGACCCTGTATAGGGTTTCCGAGCAGCAGCTGGTGAGCTTGAACTGCCGACTTTTGCAG